GAAGATCCCCCTGCACTGCCTGCAGCCCCTTGTGCAGGTTCAGTCGCCGACGGACCCCGAGGCCTTGCCCGTGGCACGGGAAGCCTCTGCCGATCCGCTTCCTCCAGCAGAGCAGCAGCCTCCGCTGGCTTTCAAGGACTGGGTGTCCGACGACGAGTTCGACTACAACTTCGGCACCTCCACTCCTGCTGAGCCGCTGGCAGCTCCCACTGCTCAGCACGGTGACGTCCCTCCCGGTGGTCAGGATGCTGGCCAGTTGGACCCCTACGACTTGGAGCGGGCAGAGCTCGCGGCCATGATGACCTCTGAGGCGGCTCTACTTTCTGGAGCAATTTCCGATGACGATGATGATGATGATGATGATGATGATGATGATGATGATGATGATGATGATGATGATGATGATGATGATGATGATGATGATGATGATGATGATGATGATGATGATGATGCTCCTCATGGCGGCGACCCCCACGGCGATTTCCATGACGAAGAAGCCGCCGAAGCGCTTCTCGTGAACATGTACGACGCAGAGCCGAGATGCTGGCCTCGACTGTCTCCGTCCCCGTGGGCGACCAGCTGGACTCCTCCACAGAGCACGGCGACCTGAACCGCACGTGCAACGACGACTTCAGTGCCCTGACGGGCACAAGGGGCCCCGCGGCCTAGGCGGGCGGCGGGCGCGAGCAGCGGCGAAGCGTGACCGCCCCCCTAGGTTGTTCGTTCATCTTCCTCCTCCTCCTCCTCCTCCTCCTCCTCCTCCTCCTCCTTCTCCTCTCCCTCGTCCTCTTCCTCATAGTTCCGGCCAACCATGCATGCTGGCAGGCTGCGGCGTACAGCAAGCAGAGGTTGACGGTTCAGTCTTCGCGGCCTGTTCCTCCTCGTCGTCACCATCATCATCAGCATCAACATTTGCATCACCATCGCCATCGCCATCGTCATCGTCATGGTTGGCATTGGCATCCTCATCATCACCATCAGCATCACCACCCTCGCCGTCATCGTCATCATCGTCATCACCGGCATCATCACCATCATCGTCATCGTAATCGCCGCCATCACCATCAGCAGCATCGTCAGCAACATCATAGTCAACAGCACCATCATCAGCACCCGCACCATCATCATCATCATCATCATCATCATCATCATCATCATCATCATCATCGTAATCATCATCATCATCATCATCATCATCATCATCATCATCATCATCATCATCATTATCATTATCATTATCATTATCACCGGCATCATCATGATCATCATCATCACCATCGCCATCGTCCTCGTCATCATCGAAATCACAGCCATCGTTTTCACCATCATTGTCGTCATTAAAACCCGCTTCGCGCTATCCTACAACCACTTATATGTCCTTCTACCTTTCCCTGATCCTCTTCCTTCCTACGATCAGAAGCACTATATCATCGACGTGCCATCATCATCTAAATTAGCTGAGTTTCATCATGATAGCTCCCCCTCATGGGGGACTTGTTCCATGCACTGGGGGCCAGATATTCCTTTATCCCTTGCCCAGATCTCTCGCCCAGAAATTTTGCGCCAGCAACTCCTACGAGGCACCTTTTCCATCTGCAGTTCAGACCAATTGGGGTATTCATTGGCCGGTCTCGGGGATCTCTTGGGCCGTCCGAGGGCCTCTTGGGGTGCCCTTGGGAGTTTATTGTTTACCGGCGCATCTTCGGGACTTTTGTGGCGCCTTTGCAAGAGTCGTTTCGGAACCCTCCTGGGACCTCCCAGAAGCCCTCCAGAGGCGATGCCGAAACGAGGGCTCAACTGTTGTGTAGAAAGTGAGAAATGATTGAGCAAGAGCGTCATTGGTGTAGGGGGGCCGGGTTTGCAGCGCCAAGGCGCGAGGCCACTCCTGAGTGGAAGTTAGGGAGTATCAAGCGGGAGCGCTGATTTCGTTGGAGGGCGGTTTTCGGCGGCGAGCAAGAGCGAGAGCGCCAGTCTTGATTAAAAAGCGAGATAGCATCAAGCGGGAACGTCGTTGTTGTAGGGGGGCCGGGTTGCGGATCCAAGGCGCGAGCGCCACTGCGCGGAAGAGCCGGTTTTGTTGGATGACCGGCTTTGGACGGCGAGCAGGAGCATTGGTCTTGAGCAGAAAGTGGGGAATTATCGACAGAAAGCGTTTTTGTTGTTGGGGGGCCAGTTAGGGCGAAACCCCGAAACGCTCGAGCACGAATTTCGCTTTAGCAGGAAGTTCAGCCGGCGCCGAAGCAAGAGCGCCAGGGCGCCCTTAGGGTGTCCAGCACTAACAAGTGTTTAGTAGCTCAGATTCGGCAACAATGCATTCATCGTTGTCATCATCGTCATCATCATCCTCTTCACTCCTCCTCGACCTCCTCCTCCTCCTCCTCCTTCTCCACCTCCGCATGGTCCTCTTCTGTTCCTGCTCCCCCCTCCCCGCTCCAGCGCCCTGCTTCGCCCAACACTCCTGCCAGACCGACTGCCCTCCCGTCCCCTGCAGTCCTCCCCCTCCCCATCCCCGCCCCTGTCACCCTCTTCCTCCTTCGGTAGCAAACCATGGGAGCCTTGTATACCCTCGCAAATCCGCTTTTGGAGTGCCTCAGCGTCGATCAGCGTCCAGTAATCGATGAAGAAGCGCCGATTTAGCGTCGATAAGCGCCGATGCAGCGTCGATTAGCGTCGACTAGCGCCGATTCGCAAGAGCCAGCAAGACGGTGTGAGAGGCTCCCAGGAGCTGCGACCGAATCCTCCGCAGCCATTTCGGCTCGGACCACTCGGGCGGGGGGATAGGCATAAGGGGGATGCGTCGATCCCCCCAACGGCAAATTGATCGCCGATAGGGGTCTGATGGCCCCAACCCGCCCAGCAAGGCGCGGTTTCGTTATCGTCGACCTATCGCCGATCTGCCGGCGATGGATCGCCGATCTCAGGTCGATGTTTCCCCCTTTATGTCAGCCCCCCCTATCGTTGCCCCTCACCTCGGTGCCTCCCGCAGGCAGCCGTCACCGTCTCGGCGCGAGGCGGGAGCCCGCGCGCGTGGCCTGCCTTTTTTTTGTTCGCCGCGCGCGCGCCGAGTCGAAGGGGCAGAGGCGCCCGTCGGCATGCCACCGCGGCAGGATGCGGGAGGCTCCTCCTCGAGGAAGGAGAGAATGGCATGAGCATCTTCCACGCCTCGGGGCGGGGGCTGTCTCCCTCCCCGTCGTCGTCGTCGTCGTTGTTGTTGTTTTCGTCGTGGTCGTCGTCGTCGTCGACCCGCTTACCCTTGTTCGGGTGTTGCTAAAGGTGCCCCTGGCCCCCAGGATTCCAAGGAGGCCCCCTCACTCGGCTGTGAGCGAGGGCGAGAAACGAGAAGGAGAAGGCCTTCTCAGAAGGCGGCGGGACTTCTCAGAGGCCATCGCGCCTTCCGAGCGAAGTTTGTCCATGCATTCGGGGAAGGCTTAGAGAAAATGGCTCGGAAGGCCGCGGGACTTCCGAGCCTTCTGAGAGGGCTTTATTCCACGCCTTGGTGTTGGGGCTGTCCCCCTCCCCTCATCGGCTCCCTAGTCTTGCTCCCCCTCCGCTTTCTCTTGCTTCTCCTTCCCCCTCCCCGTCCTCTTCGTCCTGCTGCTGCTCCTCCTATTCTTCGTTCCGTTAATCCTGTTCCACTTCCTCCTCCTCCTCTTCCTCCTCCTCCTCCTCCTCCTCCTCCTCCTCCTCCTCCTCCTCCGCCTCCTCCTCCTCCTCCTCGTCCTCTCTCCTCCTCCTCCTCCTCCTCCTCCTCCTCCTCCCTCCTCCTCCCTCCTCCTCCTCCTCCTCCTCCTCCTCCTCCTCCTCCCCTCCTCCTCCTCCTCCTCCTCCTCCCTCCTCCTCCTCCTCCTCCTCCTCCTCTCCTCCTCCTCCTCCTCTCCTCCTCCTCCTCCTCCTCCTCCTCCTCCTCCTCCTCCTCCTCCTCCTCCTCCTCCTCCTCCTCCTCCTCCTCCTCCTCCTCCTCCTCCTCCTCCTCCTCCTCTCCTCCTCCTCCTCCTCCTCCTCCTCCTCCTCCTCCTCCTCCTCCTCCTCCTCCTCCCTCCCCCCTGCCGTAAACGTTTCCCAAGGCGTGAAGGCCCTTTGTGTTCCGCGGGTCCCCGCGGACTTCTCGGGTCGGCGTTTGGCCCCCCACGGCTGCGCCGCTGGCGCCGCCTTTGGCACGCCTCCGCGCGATAGGGAAAAGGGTCCAGGCCCGATCCAAGAAATCCGCGCGGACCTCCGAACGTCGGGTGCGTGTGCCGTCGCTCCTTCCTCCATCCTCGCTGGGGGACCTGTACTCGAAGTGCGTGCAGATGGTGAACGAGAACAAGATATCCACCAAGAACGCCTTCGACCTGCCCCTCATCGACCACATGTCGGCGGCGAGCCCAGGGGGAACGTGAGAAGGGGCGGGCCTTCTCAGATGGCTCGGAAGTCCCCCAGCCTTCCGAGAAGTTTTCTCTAAGCCTTCCCCGAAGACACAGAAAACCTTTCAGAAGGCGCGAGGGCCTCTGAGAAGCCCCGCCGCCTTCTGAGAAGGCCTTCTCCTTCTCGCTTCTCCCCCTCGCCCCGCTCCCCCTTCGTATCATGCAACACCGATCCAGATATTTCCGTTTGGTTTTGGACGAAGGGCATGTCAAGGAGTCGCATTGGCTCCAACTGTCGGTTTGCATCGCAGGAGGAGCTTTTTCTGTAAAGCCAGCGTTTAAGATCACAACTTTGACGATCCCACTGGCGTCAACGAGTGCGCACCCGTGGTCTGTGCACCGGTCCTGGCCCAGGGCCATGCTCCAGACCATGCTAGCATTTTGCAGCCACACCAGCCAGGAGAAGGACGTCAAACTTGAATTCAGAAATCGGCTCACCAACGCATGCTTCAATTCATCTCTGTTGGAGGGTATTTTTCCCAGGAGCCCCCCGCGCCCAAGGGAGACTTGCACCCCAGTGTGGTTGATTCTTCCGTTTCACCCCCACTGGTGTAAACTAATCGCTAAAGCAGTTAGCGTTTTCAATTCCAACCCTTTTTTCCAGCGAATGCTGGGCGAATCGGGCTTGCAGGTTTCCCCCGTGAGGGTGGCCTGGCGGAGCTATCTGCCATCTCTTCGGGGGCGGATGGCTTCGGACAGGGCCCGAAAAATCAATAATTTGAATGAGATTTTTCGCACTGAATATGGCTTCCATGGAGGTTGGTTGGGGCGGTAGGTGGCTGCGTGTGTGTGCCGGCGCTCTCTTCCCTGCGCCGCTCACCGCAGCAATTTTAGACACAAGTTGAGTTGTGGCAGGATCTAAACACCAGTTCACTTTCTGTAGAAGTGTCAGCTTGAATCGAAGAGCCATTGCATAAACAGATCGTCGAGGAACTTGTCTGCTTGAATCGCCGAGGAGCCCCCTTTCCAGAGAAGCCCCGCCGCCTTCTGAGAAGGCCTTCTCCTTCTCGCTTCTCCCCCTCGCTCACCGCCGAACATGGACGACATCGTCGACGGGTTCATGGGCGGGAGCAGGGCCGCCAGCAGCGGAGGCGCGGGCCCCCACTCCAGGGCCAGCCGGGGCCGCCCGTCGACGGCGCCCGCCTCGGCGGAGGAGGCGCAGGAGCACCGCTTCCACGAGGCGAGCTGCACCATCGAGGCTCGGCTTTGCGTGAGAGTGACCCCTCGCCGGAGTGACTTTTGGTGCGGGCTCACAGGGGTCCCCCAGCATTGGCCGCCCGCGGCCCCCGAAAGCCGCGCACCAAAGGTCACTTTTGCCTAGGGTCACTCGCTTGCGTGTAATCGAGAGGCGTCAGCCCGGATCTACGCCTGCCGTGTCGACTGCGTCCACACGGACACCTACCGTGTGCTCGGCGGTCTGAGCGCAGGCACAGAGGAAGAGGACGCAGCGGACTGGGCGGAGGGGCCCGGGAAGAAGCGGCGGCGCATCTGCGGCGTGAGCACGTTAGAGAGGAACGAGGCCACCATCATCCAGCACCACTTCGAGGCCGACGAGCAGAGCGACCCGATGTTCCGCCGCATGGCCGCTGCGTTCGACGCGGGCGGGGCGAAAGGCCTGCTCCTCAGCCACCTGCCGGTCGCGGAGGACCTGTCGGTGGTGTTCAACGGTGATGTGGCGATGAGCAGGGCGCCCGCCGTGGCCAAGGATATGTTCTCGCAGCGAAGGCCACTGCCCGTGGGGGCGCTGGGCCTCGGCGATCTGGACGACGCCCGCTCGAAGTTCGCAGAGGCGAGCCTCTGCCTCGAGATCGACGGCTTCCGGCGGGTGCTCTTCGGGGCGCTGCCGGCGGCCTTGCCGCTGCCCGGCGCCCTCGAGTCGCTCTTGGGCTCCGCGGCCACCAGCACCTCGACGGCGACTACCGTGGCGCAGGCCCCCGAGATGATGTTGGAGGACGCGCTGTCAATAGGCGCTGGCGACGCGGACCCTCCAGCCGCAGACGACGCCTGGGCCAACGAGATGAACATTCCTGATCCGATGGGCGACCCCGTGCCTTCCACCAGCTCGCAGCCCATGTTTCCGACAGGCGGCGGCGGTGCCGGCGCCGTTGCGTTGCCTTTGGCTGACATGGAGCCCCTGGGCGGCGACTTCCGCCGCAACACCAGCAGCAGCGAGGACGTGATCGCGTTCGATGAGTTGTTCGAGAAGTTCTGCGGTGGCGGAGGCTCTCACAGCTTCGCGTACTTCGACGAATGCTGGGGGAGACTCACAGATCCGAAGGCATCGGCGGGGGCAATTCAAGATGCCGAAGCCCAGGCGGCGGCGGGTGGCGTCGGCGGCGACGAGGGCATCCTGGCCGTCCCCGGAGACGCCCCGCCTGAAGCCCACGAGAGACCACAGAAGCGCCCGCTGTTCGACCTCACCAGCCTCGACAAGCCAGCGAAGGCCATAGAGACGGAGCTGGTGCACAAGCACCAGTTGTCGGAGCGCGCGGCGCAGTGGCAGCTGCACAAGGACGTGCCCCCCTACATGATCGACAGCATCACAATGCCGAGCTGGCCCACGTGGTCCAAGTGCGACTTCGCCTGCCTGGGTCTGAGGCCGCAACTGATGCTCAAGCTGGTGAAGAAGCCTCCGCCAGCAGGCGATGGGCCTCACAGTTTCTCGGACCTCTTCTCCACCGTCGTGGTCGAGAACCCAGACGCATACCCCTGGCTCGTGGCCAACAGCAGAAGTGGAAAAGGCAACGGCCACGACAGCATCGACAACAGGATCCGTGCGGCAGGGGGCGTGGAGTTCGGCGAAGAGGGCGGCGACGAGGACTTCGACGGTGCAGGCCTGCCGACTCACCTCGACGTGGACCCAGCCGACCTGTTCCTGCAGGCAAACGACAGAGTGGTCCCCGACTGCGACAGCGACGGCGCCGCAGACATGGATGCCTACGACAACGAGCCCGGCTTCCAGCCAGGCGCGGACTTCGGTTTGGCGGACGAGCCAACGAAGGTGGGGGACACGTCGATCGGCTACAGTCGGAACTCGAAGTTCGTGGACGTCAAGTTGGTAAAGAAGCTTCTTTGGGAGTGCATGAGCGAGGACATAGGCGACGCAAAGGCTGCAGGTGCAGCCGAGGCCGAGACCAGCTTCCAGGGCCTGGTCAACCGCACTTGCAAGAGGATGCCCAGGAGCGAGATGGAGAACCTGAGCAACCAGGTCTGCTTCATCTGCGCATTGCACCTCTGCAACGAGAAGGGACTCGAGCTCAAGACTGACCCGTCCAAGCCGCTGCAGGACTTCAAGGTGGGCGACGCAGAAAAACGGGGTCGTCTTCACCGACATTGGCGTGGCGCGTAAGCGTCCTGCGTATGGTCGCGCTTCGTAAGCGCCCTCGTTTCAAATGTGGCGTGCCATACTGGCGGCCCGCGTAGGCCACCGCGTAAGGTCGCTATGCCATCTCGCATAGGACCTGTTTCTTTTCGCCGTTGAGGTGGTGGGAAGGGCGTGAGCCCGAGCGCGCGCACGGCGCGCCCAAGGGCGCCCAGCATCCAGAAATGCGGGCGGCATCGGGCGCTCCGCCCCGCTGAGGCTTCGTGGCAGTGCACCTCGGCGGAGGCCGCCGTGCCGCGCTCTTTTTTGCTGTTCCTCTCCGCGCTGCGCCAGAGCTCCCGCCCCCTCGGAGGATCTGCAGCGGTGGGGCAGGTGTGAGGGGGGAGGGGGGGCTCAGCCGAGCGCAGAGGGGGGTGGGGGGAAGGGGGAGGGCTTCCTAGAAGCACCCCTGCTTCGTAGAGGGCGCGGCCCTCATCTATGGGTGTAGGGCCTGCGCCTTCTAAGAAGCAGCCTCTTCTAAGAAGCCTTCCCCCCTCCCCCTACCACTTTGTGCGCGCCGCCGAGGCAAGGCTCGGGTGTTGCCAGATGTGTACCTGGCCCAAGGTGCCCCCTCGGAGGCCCCACGGCCTCCAGAGCACCCTTCACGAGGTCCAGAGGGCCCCAGGGGCTCCAAAGTGGCGCGGAAAGCTGGGGGCACCTTGGGCCAGGACCATTGCTAGCAACACCCGAACAGCCGAGAAGTTTGCAGCGGAGGGACAGGACCAGCAGCATAACTCGAATTCGTGAGGCTGCAGCACAGCGTCCCTTTTGGCCCGCGCCACGCTTGCAAGAAGCGTCGCGCGCGCCCCAATGTTTGCCCACCCTGGCTAGGGACGACGTCGCGGGCGGCACCAGGGAGGTGCCCCCCCCCGTCCGACGGCGCGCCAGCGAGGGGCAGTTGCACGCGCACACTCCAGCGCGCGAGACGGCGTGGCGGAGTCCAGGTTTCCTGGATGCACCTCTGCGGCATTGGTGTTTTGGGTCGGGGTCGGAGTTTCTTGAAGCACTCGTCCGAGTGCGCAGAGTTAGCCTTGCGAAGGACCCAACATGCAGCGGGATGGTCCTCTCAACGTGTACCGCTCGCCGCGGGAAGGAGGAAGTCGGAGCTCCTGATGGGGCACCACGTGAGGGGTGTGCCGACGTGAGGTGGGAACGACACGAGAAAGGGACGCGCTCACCAGGGCCGCAGGCGGGGCTCCTTTTGTGGCATGATCCGCGTGAGAGGTGTGCCGAATCGAGGCGGGGACGGTTTAGCAACGCGCTCACTGGCGCCGCAAGTGGAGCCCATGTTGTGGCACAAAGAGCGTGAGGGGTGTGGCGATTCGAGGCGGGAGCGGTATGGGGACGCGCCCACCCGGGACGCAGGTGGATCGCCTTCTCCGGAGTCGAGGCGGGGGTCAGCACGGCCAGCAGCCGCAGGGCTGGCAGCGCAGCGGTAGCAGTTACGGCCGCCAGCAACAGCAGTTGGCAGCGGCAGCTGCAACAGCAGGGAGGCTCGATGGTCCTCGGGACGTGTGTTCGCCCAACATGTGTTTACGACGTTCAGCTCCACCGATGGCACGCAGCGGGTGTAGGCCCTCATCACGTTGCCAGCGGCGTGATGAAGGGCGTCGGTGAACAAGCACACGTTGGCGCTAACACATTGTCTGAGGAACATCGAGAGGCGGAAGAGGGGAAAGAGAGAGAGAGAGAGAGAGACGCGTGGCGCAGCGGAGAGAAAGTGATGGCCCGACTCCACAGGAGGGTTGGGAAAAAAGGATCGCAATCTCTCATCAGTTTCCTCTGCAACACCATCATCAGAATCAACATCATCATCATCTCCTCATCATCATCGTCATCATCCTCATCACATCATCGTCACACCTCGTTTTCCCAGCCTTTCCTCTGCTCCTCCTGCTCCTGCTCCCACTCATCCTTCTATGTCCTACCTGTCCTCCACCAACTCATCATGTCACCAACACAATCATCCTGTGTACTATCGATACTCCCTCTCATAATCTTGACCTGCTCGGTTTCAATACAAGGGTCACGAATGATGCCCGAGTGAGATTCAAAGAAATGTAAAGCCGAGAGGCCGCATCCCACCACACAAAGGAAGGAAGGACCCCAGCCAGCTCAAGGGATGCAGTCGACAGAACACCGATGATAAATGTGCAAACGCGCACGACGCGCACAAGTCCATTTCAAATGAGTTGACCCTCACACCTCGCAGATTTGGCCATACCAGCATCATGTTCACATGGAACTGTGGGGGATGGCAGGCCAGCCAGGTACGCCGAACATAATTGTGTAGGTCTACGCACGTGCTCGTCTGATGTATTTCGCAAACGAGTTTGGACATGGTGAGCGCCACGAGGTTATTTAAGTTCTGCCGGCGGGACGTACCTCTATTCATTCCGTTCGAACGAAGACATCCGAAGTAGTGGACTTGTGACTTGTCCCGATCCAAACTCAACAGCGTTGAGGCAACGCATAGACTCATCGGGATATGGAGTTCAAGATCTTTCGGAGAATCTAACCAACAGCAAGTCTTCAAATAGTCATTATGACCAGTCGCAGTTTTCGGTCTGGATAGTTATTGTTAATGCCATGGTCATCGGGAAAGGTTTCGGATTAGGCTAGCGGTTCACTTCCAGCTTGAAGTCGCAGATTCTGAATTATTGATGTACGTTCCTTGAGCCGCATAAGTAAGACAATACACTAATTCGTTATATATCACAAGTGGACACGTGACGTCCAACGTTGGCTCAGCACTGAGTTTGAATCGGCATCTCGTGCAACCGACGAGCTTGGAGAATACAGCTTTGACAGCGCGTCACGATACAAACACGCAGGTATATGATCTCATAATGTCATGGAGGGCAAAAACAAGTTCCCCCACACGTGCCCGGGCTCAAAAAGCCGAGTCCAGTTCCATCTACGTGGGTTGTGGGCGTCAAGTTCTGCAGTCGAGAGTGCACCATTTCGCTTGGGTGCTGGACCAGCAAGCTCGAGCTCGTCATTGAGGGACGAATGCGCGGTGTGCCAAAGGTGCCAAGGTAAGGTTTCGTGTTCGATACCCCATTCCACCCCATTCCATGTTCGGGCCCCACCCGAGAGATCATCGTCGAAAATTTTGAGTTTCGAGCTCGTATGGGGGACATGTCAAAATCTCACGTCGTATCCGAGCACTTCAAACACTAGCACGATATGCACAACACGCAACACGCGCCGTTGTTCCGAAGTTTTGGCGCAAGCAAGATGGTATATATGCCGATATTGATCAAAGATGACGTCCATTTTCAGCTCCTCAACTTCCTTCTTCTCCTCCTCCTCCTCCTCCTCCGTCTTCTCCTCCTCCTCCTCGTGAAGGTCGTTGCGTAGCTGGGCGTCGATGTCAGTGATGCGGCGGCATGGAATCCTAGAGTAGTTCAGTCTTGCACGATTGCACGCGCATGGGGCGTATGACTTCTCGTTCGTACGACCGTTCGTCGTCCTCCTCTCCGAGAGCGCGCCCGACTCCAGAAGCGTCGACGCCAGTGCCCATGGCGACCCTGGCCCCGGCTCCCCCGAGGACCACCAGCGCCGCCAGCTCCGCAGCCACCGCCAGCGCCGCTCCCTCGGGACTCCCGGGGGGGGGCGGAGGGGGGGGGGCGAAGTTGGCTTCGTGTGCCGAGAGCCCACGGCGTAAAGCCAGGAGGGGCGAGCCGGAGGGAGGAGGCGAGAAGGAGGGAAGAGGAGGGAGAGGGGGAGGCGGAGAGGAAGGGAAAGTGCGGGAGGGAGGGAGAGCGAGCACAGGCATCGAAGGAGGGGAGGGAGGGAGGGGAGATGTGGAGGGTTGAGGGAGGGGGGCGGAAGGGGTGGGATGTGGGAGAGGTGCGGGGGATGAGGATGGGGAGAGAGAGGAGACGAGATGCGCGAGAGGAGACAGGGAGCGGGGAGGCAGTAGGATGTGCGCTCGACAAACTGTCCACAATGGAGAGCAGAAAGAAGGAAGATAAGGGCGAGGTGAGGATGGAGAAGATCAGATAAGGGAGGCGTTCAAGGCTCCCGTGGGGGGCACGCAGCGTAAGTCATGACAGTGGGGAGGAAATTCCAGTCGGTTCTTCATCCCCAGAGGCCCCAGACCTTCTTGCGCCCTATCCCGCACCTACCCCTCTTGTTCGCTCCAGGCGCGCTTTCCCGGGGGCTCCGCACCAGTTTTCCCTCGGCCGACGTGCTCAGCAGCAGGACGATCAGAAACTAACGGCCGGGGAGGGCCCACCCGAACCGAGCAGAAACGGACCCGCGCGTGAACCGCAGACGGCGAGACGGGAGCTCGTCATCGGGGGATGACGAGCAGGCTCCCGGGCCAGGGGGCGTCGGGGCACGGGGCCCGCCGAAGGGCAGGCACCAGGGCCTGGGGACAGTCGAGGCACGGGACCGACCGTGCGCAGCTGGCGGCAGCGGAGGACGGGCACGAGGCGCCCAAGACGGCCCAAGAGGGTCCAAAGACAGCCCCAAGAAGGGCCCGAGAGGAGCCTCGAGAGGAGCCTCAAATCCGAGTCTTCCGCCCCAAGAGGCCCCCAGGGGGCCCCAAGAGAGGTCCCCAAGAGGCCCCAAGAGAGACCCCCCAAGAGGCCCCGAGAGGACGCCCCGAGAAGCCTCTGGCGACAGACGGGGCACGGGGCCGACGGGAGGCAAGCGGAGGGCGGGCAGCTCCGGGCGGGGACGGTCCGGCGAGAGGAGCGCCCCGGGAGTTCGGGGTTCACGCCGCGGGCAGCGCCCACGGGGCCAGGCGATCCCCTCTGGCCGACCCGGGTTGGGGAGCCGCGTGGGGCCGATCCCCCTTCTCCGCCCTCCGCTGGCCCGGGCCTGGGAGCTATTCAGCGACAGGCCGGGCTTCGCGACAGGGCCCTGGCCGACCCGGGGCTGCGCTGACTGGGGCTTATTGTGTGTCCCCGAGGAGGCGAGAGAGCGTTGGTTGGAGAACGGCGAGCTTACGTCCCAGTTTGCCCATCCTCCTTCTCGCCCTACGTTCGAACCCCCGTTCCCCCATTAAGTATGTCCTCGTATGATGTTCATTCGCCCCACCCACCCTGCACTCCTCGCACCCTGTTCCCATCTAGTCCTACCTCGAATCCTGTCCCACGCTACCCCCCTCCCAACCCTCATGCCCTCCTCTCGAATCTTCTTCCGCCCTATCCAACTGCTGCTGTTCAGTGTCTTGCTACTGGCCCCGTCGTACTGATCACTGGCGTGGCGCGCGTCCGCTCGCTCAACGCACTCGTGAAGTGTTGCACCCTCGCTGTCTTTCAACGTCGTGATGTATATCCCAGTCATGCCGCTCAGCTATCTGGTGCAAGCATCGTTGAATGATGCATTAGCGGACGTTCAAGCTTATGTTATTAAGCGTCGTGTTGTTGGTTCCCATTGTGTTTTGCAGTGCCGTATGTACGTCCCATTGCTCGACGCACTCGTGGAATGTGAAAGTCTCGCTGGTGCTGGACGTCGTGGTCATGTTCCCAGTCATGCCGTTCAGCGACATGCTGCGTGTCCCACTGCTCGACCCCCCTGCAGCCGTCGAAATAGTGATGCTGCTTAGGTGATGATCAGTGAAGCGTTGTACGTCCCATTGCTCGACGCACTCGTGGTTGCCACAGCCGTGCTGCTTCTCAGAATCGTGTTGCTATCCCCCGTCGTACTGATCAACGGCGTGGCGCAAGTCCCACTGCTCGAAGCGCTCGTGGTCACCGAAGTCTTACTGCTGTTCAGCGTCGTGCTGACGAGCTCCCAGTGCTGCTCCGTGACGCGATACACGTACAACTGCACGATACAGTCGTTGACGTCAAAGTCACGTTTCAGCGTCGTGTTGTTGCTGTTGCTCCCTACCGGGCTGCTTTGCTCAGCGTCGTCTCGCAGGCACCCGTCGTGCTGCTCAGCGTAGCGCTGCTGCTAGTGCCCCTCGCGTGCCCCAGTGAAGTAATGCCCGGCGCTCTGCTCGTCCCACTCAGTAGATATCGGAGTCGTTTTGATGTTCTCCAACGAGTTGTTCAGCGCTTGCACTGCTGGAGCCCCTCATCCAGCTCTGCACCATGGACTCGAATTGTTGGTCGCCCCGCTCGTGGGTGTCAGACTGGTGCTGCTGGTCACCTTCGAGCTGCTCAACCTCGTGTCGTTGGCGCTTGTCCAGCTGTTCATGGACGCGGTGGTCGGAGCCCGACTCGCCCATCCCAGGTGTAGCCACACACTGGTGTAATAGTTGATTGGCGCGTTGGTGTAATAGCTGTCCCAACGCGCTGGTGTAATTGTTGTCCTGGGGTGTTGGTGTAAGAGCTGCCCTGGCGCGCTGGTGTAATAGTTGTCCCAGAACATTGGTGTAATAGCTTTCCCGGAGCGTTGGTGTAATCTATCCCAGGGCTTTTGTATAGTAGTTGTCCTGGGGCGCTGGTCAATAGCTGTGCCGGGGTTTTGGTGTGATCACTTGCGCACGCGCAAAGTAAGGCTGTGTAACGACGTGTTGCACGACGCAATTTCCCATCCTACTCGTGGATGTGAACATCGTGTTGATGCTTCTCAGGATCGTGCGGGCACAGATCACGATACTGCCACGCTGAGCGGATGCGGACATTTCTGCTTAGTCTAGTCAACCTTGCACTGTGCATTGGCTGTACTCGTCCTCCCCTCCCCCTCCTCCCCTCTCCCTCCACTCCCCCCCCCTTTCCCCTCTGCTTCTTGCGCGTGTTGGCCACGTGGTGCGCGCGCCATCTTCAAGGCCTCTCGGCCCAGGCCTTTCTCTTCGTTGCTCGTCTGCTTAGTCCCCCATGAGACATCGCTTCACGGTTTGCCATCGGGTGTTGCGCTCGTGCTCGTGCATTCGGCAGCTCGACGTCCGTCCTTGTCTCTTCTGTCTGACGCTGCTGGGCAGTGTTGCTGTGGTGATATGCAGTACGTACTCGATGAAGAGGTCATCACTGTTGACAGGAAATCGAACCATCTCCACCCCACCCTCTAGCCCTCTACCACCATACGTACCCTACATCCCTCTCCCTTCCTACCGCCTAATCGTCTTCGCCTCCTCCTCATCCTCCTCCGTAGCGCGATTGACTCAAGCTGTCTCAAGTCTCTATGGGGGTCTCCCCGCGCAATCGACCGAGATTGGGGTCTGCGTCAGGGGGCGATCTGCCAAAGAAGCGCTCTTGGAGAGGAGAGGTCGGCTTCGATGGCAAGGTGCTGGGCGCTGAAGACCTGACACCCTTGGGTGGCCTGGAGAGTTGGCGGGGCCATCCGCGCTTGCAGAAGCATCTTGAGGCCTTCAAGGGTGCATCCGATCGGGCCAGGGTGCTGGAGCGCTATTCAGAGGCGGCTGTCACGGCCAGTGCCTTACATCGGAAGGTCGTCCTCCGGTACGCGTGCCATGTTGGCGCTTGGACCGCGATGCTGCCAGCGGAGGAAGCAGTCGCGTCCTGTGGCCCAGAGGGCCTCTCTCCAGTCCGTGTGCTTGCGCGACTGCTGCAGCACTGGGGGAAGGGGCCGCTAACACCGTGGTTGCGTGGCATCTTGCGCCTCGTGGAAGAGCGTCTGCGAGAAGTTCACAGCACCTCCGCAGGTTGTTGGGAGGAGCTTCGGCAGGCCATGCCTCGTCTGAGAAAGGACCGTGCAAGCGGGTATGGAAGCGACGGCGTGCACACCAGAGCCGCTCAAAAGAACTCGCTCTGTTCAACGATTGCTGACAAAAAGAGGGCGTTGACGTTGAAGGCTTTGCGGAAGCGGCAGCGCGACGCACTCATCGAGGCCGACGGACTTCGCGGGTTGCACCGAGAGGCGGCAATCGCGGCAGCGTTGCAGCGCGGAAAGGCTGCGCTATTAGAAGAGGATCCAGATGCAATAGTTGAGATCGTTTCTGACTGCATTGGTTTCCTCGAGCCGCCTCGCAGGAAGGCCACTCGATCAAAGGAGGAGGCGATGCCGGACGAAGCGAAGGATCGCCTTCGAGCCGGTGTCCAGCGGAAGCTCCGGACCCTCGTGTTGCAGTTGTTTGGCTGCCTGGATCTACAGGACGCGGATACGCTGAAGCTGCTGGCGGTGCCTTTTGGACGGCTGTGCTGCATACTGCGAGGAGGCGGCGCGGAGCGCCCCGCCTGCGAGGCACAGTGGCTCCGGATCAGAGATTTGGCGGCAAGATTTGAAGAGCGTCAGGAGCAGGGCCCCATCCACGCGCCGCCCCCAACAGCGCTCGCCGCAGGCGAAGAGCTTCCGCTGGCAGCGGGCACCCGGAAGGTCGGCACCGGGCTGGCGAAGGAGGCCAAAGGGCATCGTTCTATCAGAGAAGGACGGTACACCCCAAACAGGCAGATCCTTGCCTTCAGCTGCGTCGAGGAGCGGCAGGGTGAGGAGGAGGTTCTGATCTGCTCCGGCTGCGCCTTGGAGGTACGCACTTGCTGGTATTGAAGACGCCTACGGCGAATCACCGCTGCCCTCTGCCTTTTGGAATCGCCCATGTGACCGAGCGTTGTGGCAAGAGCTCTGCCAAGCTATCGGACCATGTGTTCCCCCAACCGTTGGGGGAACCCTTCGGGGAACACTTGGGGGAGGATGGCGGGGAAGATCAGGAGGAAGAGGAGGAGGAGGAGGAAGAGGAGGAGAAGGGGGCATCTTGGGGGCCTCTGGGGCACTCTTGAGGCCTCCTGGGAGCTTCCTGGGAGCCTCTTGGAGGCATCTTGGGGGCCTCCTTGGGCCTCTTGGGTGCCTTTGGGTGCCTCTTTGACCGTCTGAGGGCACTCCTGGCCCGTCTGACGCCGTCGAGAGCCGTCTTGGGGGTCTCTCTGGGCCGACTTGGGGCCCTCTTGGGGTGTTCCAGGGCAGTTTGGGAGGCCACCTTGGGCGTCTTGGAGGCCTCTTGGGCCGTCTTGGGGCCCTCGTTGGGGGCCTCTTGGGCCGCTGTGGCGCCAGCTTGGAGGCCTCTTGGGCGATCTTGGGGCGATCTGTGGGAGCTCTTGGACCGTCTCGGGCCGTCGCAAGGCCGAGCACATGCCAAAATCCTTCAAAATATCCGAAGGACAGTAATTGATGTTGGCCTCTTCGGGCCTCCCTGGGGTTCCTCTTGGAGGCCTCTGGGGCCGTCTTGGAGACCTCTTGGGGGCGCCTTGGGCCATCATGAAGCCATTTGGGGCCGTCTTGGTGGGCTCCTTGCCCGTCTGACTCCGTCGGAAGCCGTCTTGGGGGTCTCTCTGGGCCGACTTGGGGCCCTCTTGGGCTGCTCCAGGGCCGTCTTGAAGGCCATCTTGGACATCTTGGAGGCCTCTTAGGCTGTCTTGGGGGCCGTCTTGGGGGCCTCGTGGGTCGATCTGGAGCTATCCTGGAGGCCTCGATCTTGGGGCGATCTTGAGGAGCTCTTGGACCGTCTCGGGCCGTCGGAAGACCGACAAGAAGCGAGTGCCAAAATCTGTCAAAACCCTTAGGAAAAAAAAACAATGATGTTGGCCTCTTCGGGCCTCCCTGGGGTTCCTCTTGGAGGCCTCTGGGGCCATCTTGGAGACCTCTTCCGGGCCTCCTGGGCCGTCGTGGACCATCTTGGGCCGTCTTGGTAGGCTCCTTGCCCGTCTGACGCCGTCGGAAGCCGTCTTGGGGCCTCTCTGGACCGACTTGGGGCCCTCTTGGGGTGCTCCAGGGCCGTCTTGGAGGCCTCTTGGGCCGTCTTGGAGCCCTCTAGGGGCCGTCTTGGGGGCCTCTTGGGTCGTTCTGGCGCCATCTTGGAGGCCTTTGGGGCGATCTTGGGGCGATCTTTGGGGGCTCTTGGGCCGTCTCGAGAAGCAAAAGCCAAAATCCTTCAAAGACCTACGGAGCATAACTTTTCGGGCATTCCTAGAGGCCCTCTTGGAAGCCTCTTGGGCCGTCTTGGAGGCCTCTTAAGGGCCTAATGGGCCGTCTTGAGTCATCTTGAGGCCATCTTGGGCCACTTTGGTGGCCTCTTGGGCGGACTTGGAGGCATCTCGGACCCTCTTGGGTCGTTTTAGTGGCCATATTGGACCATCTTGGGCGAACGCGAAGGCCATCTTGGCCATCTTGAAAGCCATTGAGGGCCATCTTGGAGCCATCTGGACCGGGCAAATTTTGGTAACCAGGTCTTCCTGGTGGCCTGCGGGACGCGCCGAAGCCCCAAGGGAGAGTTCTTTTGGAAATCATCGATTTATTGTTTTATACATATATATATACAATTCTATATATATATATACACATATACATATATACATATATTTATATATACCTTCGGGTGATAAGGAGGTTGTGGGGGGGGAGAGGGGGGGAACCAACATCTGACTCAATCGATCTCACTATCGATCCCACTCCACGGGACACCATGGGACACTTGTTGATCTCACTACCGATCTCATTATCGATTTCATTCAACGGGACACCACGGGACACCGCGGGACACCTCTCGATCTGAACATCGGTCCCACTATGGATCTCACTCAACGCGACACCACGGGAAACCCCGGGACACCTCGGGACACCACATCGATCTCACTATCGATCTCATTCAACGGGACACCACGGGACACCGAGAGACACCTCGGTGCACCACATCGATCTCAGTATCGATATCACTATCGATCTCACTGTCGATCTCATTCAACGGGACACCACGGGACACCTGTCGATCTCACTGTCGATCTCACTATCGGTCTCACTCAACGGGACACCACTGGACACCACGGGCCACCACGGGACGCCGCGGGACACCTCTCGATTTCACGTTCGGTCTCATTATCGATCTCACTATCGATACCACTCAAGGGGACACCTTAGGACACCACGGGGCACCGAGGGACACCTGTCGATCTCACCATCGATCTCACTGCCGATCTCATTCAACGGGACACCACGGGACTCCACGGGACACGGCGGGACACCTGTCGATCTCACTATCGATCTCACTCGGGACACCACGGGACTCCTCGGGGCACCACATCGATCTCACTATCGGTCTCACTATCGATCTCACTCACCGGGACACCATAGGACACCACGGGACACCACAGGACACCTGTCGATCTCACTATCGATCTCACTTTTTGGGACACCACAGGACACTTCGGGGCATCACATCGATCTCAATATCGATACCGAGACGCCCGGGACACCCGGGACACCCGGGATTCCGCCCGGCCCAACCGGCCATTGGCGGACGGGAAAGAACGCCCAGGACACCCAGGACACCCGGGACACCGCCCGGCCCAACCGGCCACCGGCTGTTGGGCGACGGACTTTCGCTCCCAGTCCGGCCTAGCTACAGGAGGATCACGCGCAGCTTCGCTTCGCCCGCACGCGCGACACGAACACGAAACCGAAACCGATTTCCCGGTGGGGGGTCTCCGTTTCTCTGCGATCTCACCCCCCAACTTCCGATACCTATACAACCACCCTTCGGGTGATAAGGAGGTTGGGGGGGGAGGAACCAACGTCTCACTCGATCGGTCTCACTATCGATCTCACTATCGGTCTCGGTCGATCCATGTCATTCCATCGATCTCACTCGATCTATTTCATTCGATCGATCTCACAATCCATCTGACGATCGATTTCACAATCGATCTCACTATCGATCTCACTATCGATCTCACAGTTGATCTCCCATTCGGTCTCATTATCGATTTGACTATCGATATCACAATCGATATCACAATCAACGTCATCATCATCAACAACGTCATCGTCATCAACGTCATCAACATCATCATCACCACCATCATCATATTCGGGACACCATCATCATCATCACCTCGTCACCATCATCATCAACATCACCATCGGGACACCATCATCGTCACCATCATCATCATCAACAACATCATCATCGTCGGGACACCATCATCATCGCTGGAGCACCACAATCAGCATCATGTTATCATCTGCATGAACAACATCATCGACATCATCATCATCATCATCATCATCGGGACACCATCGGCATCATCAGCATCATCATCATCGGGACACCATCACCATCGTCACCAACATCATCACAATCATCATCATCGGGACACCATCATCACCACCATCATCACCATCATCGGGCCACCATCAGCATCACCTCATCATCATCGACATCATCATATTCATCGGGACACCATCATCGTCATCATCAACATCATCATCGGGACACCATCATCACCACCATCCTCAACAGCATCATCATCAACCTCATCATCTTCATCGGGAGACCATCATCATCATCATCTCATCATCATCATATCATCATCATCCCAACATCATCAAGATCACCAGAATCATCATCACCGGGGCACCATCATCATCAGCAACATCACCATCATCATCGGGACACCATCATCACCATCATCAGCATCATCATCAACATCGTCAGCATCATCATCATCATCAGCATCATCATCATCATCGGGACACCATGATCATCAACACCATCACCATAATCATCATCATCAACATCATCGACATCATCATCATCGGGACACCGACGGGACACCGGCGGGACACCGCGGGCCACCGGCCCCCGGAAAGGAATCATTTGGTCCGGCCGCGCCTCAGCCGGAGGCGGGACACCGGCGGGACACGTCGGGCCACCGGCCCCCGGAAAGGAATCATTTGGTCCGGCCGCGCCTCAGCCAGAGGAGACTTTCTTCTCGCCCGCCCACGCAGCTCCGCCTCGCCCGCACGCACGGCACGCACGAACACGAAACCGAAACCGATTTCCCGGAAGGGGGGCTCTCCGTCCCACTTCGATCTCACCCCGTCAGTTCCGATATATACAATATTTCTTAATACTAGTAATAATAATGATAATGCGAAGAATAATAGTAATAGCAATAATAATGATGATGGTCACACTAATGATAATGATACGAATAACAATGATTATAATAATCCTAATAATAATGAGAAGAACAATAATAATGAATCGAATACGAATAACAATAATCCTAAGAATCACAATAATAGTCATACGGACCATAATCATACAAAATTTAATAACAACAATCAGAAGAAGAATTAGAATGATAATAGTAATAATACTAATTTTACCTATGAACAAAAAGTTCAGCACGCCAGGCACCCCTGTGGCAAGACCACATGGGGCGGCGGATCGAAGACGCCTACGGCGAATCACCGCCGCCCCCTGCCTTTTTGGAAGCGCCTATGTGGCCGAACGTTGAGGCCAGACCTGCCAAGCTATCGGACCACGTGTTCCCCGAATCGGTTTGGAAAGCCTTCGGGGAACACGTGGGCATCTTGAAGGTCATCTTGGCCGTCTTGGAGGCCTCTTGGGCAAGCTTTGGGCGATCTTTGGGGCTTTTTGGGCCGTCTCGGGCCAGCTTCGAGCCAACTTCGGCCATCTTGGTGGGTTCCTGGCACGTCTGAAGCCGTCGGAAGCCGTTTGGGGGGCCTCTATGGGCCGACTTGGGGCCCGC